AGTGATGTGTGTGTGTGAAATCCCCGTGTAAATACAACAGTGTGCACAGGCCCAAAGTGTAGACAAGAGTTCTCGAGCATGTATGTGCCAGTTGCTGTGCTAAGCAGTATGCGTCCAGTGGAGAGCAAGGGGACACTCCTCCTGCCCTCGCGTAGCTTGCCCCATCTGTCGGGGGAAGACAGACACCGAGAGAAGACTTGTTCAGCCTTAAATTCCACCTGCCATTTGTGCCCTGAAGGGGAGAAACCCAGTTCTGGGAGAAATTCCGACGTAAGAATCTGGCCCCCACCGGAGGAATCCAGGAAGGATTTTGTGGAGAAAAGGGTGGCTGAGTGGAAGTTAAAGGATGAACAAGAGTAAACCAGGAGGACAAGCCAGAGAAGGCATTCTGGACGGAGGGACGCTGCATGTCCCAAGGCCCTGGGGTAGGACAGAGTGCATCAGTTTTGAGGAACTGAAAGAAAACTTGTGGGGCAGAAAGGCAGAGAGCCTGGTTGGAATAAACAGATTCCACAGGTTCCTTTCCTTGAAGACCCCCAGACACAGCTTAGGCACAAGGTAGCTTGGGAGACGGCAAAAAAACTTTTTTGAGAGCTCATATTTTTCACTTTAATCTCAGAACTTTTCAGATAAGAGCTTTTGAGGAGTGCAGAGGAAGTGGGCAGCTCTGACTACAGGTTGGGTGAAATACAGAGGGCGTGTGTGGAACCCCTAGGGTTCCCCAGGGACTCAGTTTGAAAACCCTTAGTTCAGTAGCAGGAAAGGGCCATAGCCCCTTAATTCTCCTTAAAAAAAAAAAAAATCCTTTCATTCCTCCTATTTCTACTAGTAAAACTGAGCTCCAGTGGCCTCACTTTTGCATCTAATGCTAGCTAATAAAATTTTAGTAGTACCATAGGACAATCACATCCTTAAAATTTTTTAAATCAACTTTATTGAGGTATAATTTCCATACAAGAAAATGCATCCATCTTAAGTGTTCCGTTGGGTGCATTTAGACAAATGTATATACCTGCATGCTGCATGAATGTTAGGTGTTTCCCAAGTATTTTTTTTTAAGTGGAATTTACATACAGTAAAATTCACCCTTTTGGGTGAGTTCTGTGAGTTTCAACAAATGCATCCAGTTGTGTAACCACCACCAGTTGTGTATAATTTAAATTACAATTGGAAAAAAAGGGGTTTCCCAAAGATCCGAAGGAAGTTGGTCTCCCGAAGCCACAGAGGGAATTTTTCTGCCCCCGTACAACGGGCTTTCCTATGCTCTGCAGACCTTGTGAATATTCATAACTGTTACCAGCTTGTTCTCGTCCCTGTTAATATACATCTGCCCTTGAAGGGTTATTTTGAACAAAGGGGGCTTGTATCATTTGGAAGACTAGAAAGTGTGGCCACTTCCTGTGAAACTGACCTCCGGAGGCAACGTGCGCTTCTGATTGGTTGCCTGGCTAGATGATAATTTGTTGCCCTGGCGACAATGTTACAACGACAGGTGGCTCTGCCAAATCAGAGAAGAATCATTGACACTTGCTTCCCTCGGTTGGAACACTGCTGGATTTCTTTACCAAGGAGCTGGAAAGCCCAGTCTCCTTTATGCGAACATTTCCGACCTGGGGTGGGGTGGGGGGAATCTACCTCTGCAGAATTGGAGTCTGAGCAGCTGCCCCAGCACAGGTTGGGCGAGGACAGGCGGTGGCTCTGGCAGGACCCCCCGGGGCCACGCTGTGTCTTGGGGCAAGGAGCATCTAGGGTCTTGCGCTTGGCTGGTAAAAATCATGGCGATTTCCAGCGTTAACTCCCGGAGATTCTCCTTTGCAGAGACCCACTCCCGCCTTCCCTGTTCCCCTGGCTCCTTGAGCCTCTCGCCTCCTCACAGAATATGATCAATCTTCCCCTTCAGGGCTCCCTGGCGAGTTCTGAGATGATCATATCTGCTCTTTGTTGAACGCTTAACCCTGTGTTGAGCGATTTACACATATGACCACATTTAATCACCACCACCCAGTCAGGTGGATATGATTATTGTCTCCACTTTACAAAAGAAGAGACTGAGGCCCAGAGAGGCTAAGTGACTTGCCTGGGGTCACACAGCCAGTTGGTAGAGGACCTGGGATTTAAACCTGGGCGGTCTGGCTCCAGGACCTGCACATTTCAGCCCCAAGAAGTGTGTGTGTGTGTGTGTGGTGGGAGGGCTCTGTAGATGGCCATAGCTGCTGTCCCAACTTTTCTTTAAAAAAAAAAAAAAAAAGGGACGATCTTTTGAGAATATTTGTACAGCTTTCTTTTTCTTTTAAAGAAATGACAGAAATAAAATGTCCTCATTTAGACAGGAATTCAGGGGCCAGGCCAGTGGCTCAAGCGATTAAGTGGGTGCGCTCCACTTCGGCAGCCTGGGGTTCGCCTGTTCAGATCCCGGGCGCACACCGACACACTGATTGTCAAGCCATGCTGTGGTGGTGGCGTCCCATATAAAGTGGAGGAAGATGGGCACGGATGTTAGCCCAGGGCTGATCTTCCTCACCAAAAAAAAAATAATAATAAATTTAAAAAATAAAATAAAAAGGAATTCAAAAAATATGGACGTTTATGAAAGAAAAGTTCCCCTGTATTGGCACACACCTGGAGGAATCAAGAAATGGGGGGGGGGTTATGA